TATATTCATTCATTCTATTTAAATACTCATTCAGGAAAAGTCAAATTTGGACCCCTGACGTTCTGCTCTACAACAGTGCAGATCCTCAGTTTGACAGTTCCTATCAGTCCAATGTCCTTGTCTACCCCGATGGAAGCGTTAACTGGATACCACCAGGTAAACTTGAGATCTGGATCACGAATGTGAGGGCCCTACTACTGCTTTACAGGAATTTTTCGAATATCGTGTCGGATTGCTGTGGCATGGTTTCCTTTCGATCTTCAGGAATGCTTCATGAAGGTAAAGTTTCAAAAAAGTATGCCCACAAAGCTTATATCTCAGTAGTTTTTTCGCTTACAGCGGTAAGCTTAAAATCTCGTTGCAATACGATGGCTATAAATTTCGCAATGAAAGCTGAAAATTTTGCGTTATTTGACGTTTTTTTAATCATATAAGAATTTCCCTTTCATTCGCTGCTGTATCATAAACTGTGCAAGTTTCTCCAGTATCTTGACAGCTTGGCCTTGATCGAATTCAGGTTTTCATGCTTCAGTTTTCTCAGAATAACAAAAATTTTGATGAAAGCCGCTGGACCCTTCAGGGCAGATGATTGCTCGAGTAATTATTTGGAATAAAATCGGGGCTTTCAAGAAAAGACTTATAATCTTTGAAGAAATGTAAAAAGCAATTTTGCAGGCTTGTTGATGACAGTATGTATAGATCTAGAAAGTAAGAAGGAAACAGCACATCGTCTCCTAATAACCTCTTTGCAAGCGAAAGCGGGTTAATCTTTACTTACCACTTACCTTATTTTCAGTTCGGCTCATGGACTTTCGATGGCTCAAAATTGAACTTGGACGTAGACGACAATGGCTTTGATCTTTCCAGTTATACACCTAACGGAGAATGGGAACTTCTACGTAGGACTTGCCTTATTCTTTCCGCATATGCTTAAAATTTTCACAAGATATGATTCCAGGCACCCACGCAGTTAGGAATATTCAGCACTATGCATGTTGTCCAGAGCCATATTATGACATTGTTTTCACTTTTGTCATTCGTCGAAGGGTGCTCTATTACGGTATGGCTTCAGCTAGTGTTCTATGTTTTGAAATAGATTTATTTCAGCTTTCAATCTCATCTTACCATGTATCCTTATCACTGTGCTTACTCTTACTGGTTTTACCTTACCTCCGGATGCTGGCGAGAAGATGTCACTGCGTAAGTTGGTTAGACTAACGGTTGAATTATGGCTCTTTAGAATTCTTTAAAAAGTAGAGTCCAAATCTCATCCCAGTTTGCTCAATTGTGGAAAAAGTTGTTACTTTAAAGAACTTCTGGCTGCAGCATTGCATTTCCGGTCGTTTATCCTGCTTGATTTTGATTTTTTTCTTGATGCAATGTTTTTTCAGCTTAGAAGAATTAGAATTAATATTAGATAACTTCTTAGATTCTTACACAAATTTACAGAAATCACCATCATGCTTTCTATCTGCATTTTCCAAAATTACTTGGCTGAAATGTCGCCGCCAACATCTGAAGCTGTGCCGTTTCTGGGTACGTTCATTTCTTATTTTATCAGGACAAACAAAATATTCATCAGACGTAAAGAATGTTTTTTCAGCTTTTCTAGGCAGAATAAAGGCTGATGAACAATTTAGATAGCAAATGTAGCTGTCCTTGTTTTTTCTGTAGATTGAATTTTACATGGGAGATGTTCCAAGATAGCATACATAGAAATGACGATGAAAAGTAAAGCACATCAATTCACAATTTTGCGATGAATTTGAATTATAAAAAATTGATATTTCAGGCTGCTTTCTTCAAAATCCTGCATTATTCGCTATCAAAAAAAATTTTCAAACCGATTTCAGGAGCCTTCTTCGCTGTCTGCATGTTTACCTGTGCTTGTTGTGTAGTTGCGACCACCCTAGCTCTCAATTTTCACAACAGAAATTCATATTCCCACGAGATGAACGACATGGTAATTTGTTACAACACTGAGCCCCTGAAATAGCTATGTTACTTTTTCAGTTTCGCCAAATTATGCTAAACTGGCTACCCTGGTTATTGATGATGCATCGACCAGGCTATGCTGCAGCTAAAGGAGAATTATCGAAAGTCGAAGATGACGAGGATGAAGACGAGAAACCTACTATTTGCTTTGATTCGTTGATTTCCAAGGTGGCCGCGCAGACTCCGCCCAAGTATGTCTTTTTCCTAATGGGCTATAACTAGGACTATCCCTGCTGCGTGTTTTATGCAATGCATTCAATATTTTCTATAAAAGCGTAATAACTAACTCAAGCCATGAATTGATTTTGGGGCTGTGAGCTCAATAGTTGCCACGCGG